TGACTTGGTGTGGTCTGGGACTGTTGTTGTTGTTGACTTGGTGTGGTCTGGGACTGTTGTTGTTGTCTTGGTGTGGTCTGGGACTGTTGTTGTTTTTGTTGACTTGGTGTGGTCTGGGACTGTTGTTGTTGTCTTGGTGTGGTCTGGGACTGTTGTTGTTGTTGTCTTGGTGTGTGATCTGGGACTGTTGTTGTTGTTGTTGTCTTGGTGTGGTCTGGCACTGTTGTTGTTGTTGTTGTCTTGGTGTGGTATGGGACTGTTGTTGTTGTTGTCTTGGTGTGGTCTGGGACTGTTGTTGTTGTTGTCTTGGTGTGGTATGGGACTGTTGTTGTTGTTGTTGTTGTCTTGGTGTGGTCTGGGACTGTTGTTGTTGTTGTTTTGGTGCCGTCTCTGACTGTTTATGTTATGGTGTGGTCTGGGATTGTTATTGTTGTTGTTGTCTTGGTGTCGTCTGGGACTGTTGTTGTCGTTGTTTTGGTGTGGTTTGGGACTTGTTGTTGTCTTGGTTTGGTCTGGAACTGTTGTTGTTGTCTTGGTGTGGTCTGTTGTTGTTGTTGCCTTGCCCCAGGCTTGCATTTGCCCTTGACAAAATCAGCAGGAAATTGATGCTCGTGTGCCACGTTGCACTCTGCACGAATTTGACGCGTGGCGATCCATTTGCAGCGACTTGCTCACCTTCTCCCCGTCTCGCTCTCACCACATCGTCTCACGTGCCTTGTCTCCGATGTACCTCGCTGATCACGTGGCACCCTGTAGCTCACTGATCACTCGGCTCTCTGTAGCTCGCTGATCACTCGGCTCCCTGTCCCTCGCTGATCACGCGGCTCCATGGAGCTCGCTGATCACTCGGCTCCATGGATCTCGCTGATCACTCGGCTCCATGGAGCTCGCTGATCACCCGGCTCCAGGTACCTCGCTGATCACTCGGCTCGATGGAGCTCGCTGATCACTCGGCTCCATGGAGCTTGCTGATCACCCGGCTCCAGGTACCTCGCTGATCACTCGGCTCCATGGTGCTCGCTGATCACCGGGCTCCATGGAGCTCGCTGATCACCTAGCTACAGGTAGCTCACTGATCACTCGGCTCCCTGTACCTAGTAGTGGCGGTGGTAGTGATGGTGTTGATGCTGGTGCAGTGGTGGTGGTGGTTGTAGTGGTGGTGTTGGTGGTGGTGCTGGTGCAGTGATGGTGGTAGTGGTGATGGTGTTGGTTGTGCCGGTGCAGTGGTAGTGGTGGTAGTGGTGGTGATGATGACGGTGGTAGTGGTAGTAGTGGTGGCGATGGTGGTATTGGTAGTGGCGATGATCGTGGTGGCCGGATTGAGGGGGCTAAACGGGCGCGGCACGGGCTGGAGAAGAGATGGAGTGACGTGGTACAGGAGGACGTGGAGCTGAGTGGACTTGCCGATGACTGGTACCAGCGGTGTCAAGATCGGCCTCTGTGGAGGAGGCTCGTGAAGGACGCTGCTACTGGGCAGTTGGAGGCAGTCGCCCTCCAACAACAACGGAGGGCGGAGGAGCGACGCTCACAACAACGAGCGGAGCGCCGGGTGGCTAAAGCACAGCAGGTTGGCACAGTAGGGGGCACAGGTGGTGCATCAGCCAGTCATCTCAGTCAGTCGACCCGTGGCACCTGCTGGGTCTGCCCCGTGACCTCCTGCCAGCGGGCGTTCGACACTTCACGTGGCCTCAAGGTGCACATGGCCTGGCACAAGCGTCGTGGTGACATCACCGCCACTTAGTGGCGAATGGTGGTTGTTGGTGACGGTGGTGGTGGTGGTGGCGGTGGTAGTGGTGGTGACGATGGTGGCGATGGCGGTGGTGGCGGTGGTTGCTATGCATAGTGGTGTGCGTGTGTCACCCTTCTCACCGCGAGTAGATTTCCGTCACTTCAACCGCTCGCGGTCCACTCCCTGCAACCTCCTTTTCTCAAATAACTCACAAAAATAGCTTCTGTAACAATAGCGATAATAACGACTTTACATATTTTATTTAGCCTTTTTTAGTGTCCCGTTTCTTTCCGTCCATTTTCTCCCTCCGCCCCCCCCCCCCACACGTCTTTGTTATCTTAAAAAAATAGTGGTTTTGGGGGGTGGTGGGGGTGGTGGTGCAGGCGGTCACAATCTTCAGTATCGCCACCCCCCCCCCCCCCAAGGTATTTACCGGCACGGACACAACCAACGGGGGGTGGGTGGGGGTGGGGGGGGTTGGGGGTAATGTGGACGGGGGGTAGGGGGGTGAGCAATTTGGGGGGGGGGGTTCAGTCGGTGATTGCGCAATCACCCCGCGCATTACCCCGCCCCTTCCCCACCGCTCCGTGTCGCTCTCTCTCCCCGGGGACGGTCGTCGAACACGCGCACGTGACTGGCGAGCGTGCACGTGACGACTGGCGAGCGTGCACGTGACTGGCGAGCGTGCACGTGACTGGCGAGCGTGCACGTGACTGGCGAGCGTGCACGAGACTGGCGAGCGTGCACGTGACGACTGGCGAGCGTGCACGTGACTGGCGAGCGTGCATGTGACTGGCGAGCGTGCACGTGACGACTGGCGAGCGTGCACGTGACTGGCGAGCGTGCACGTGACGACTGGCGAGCGTGCACGTGACGACTGGCGAGCGTGCACGTGACTGGCGAGCGCGCACGTGACGACTGGCGAGCGCACGTGACGACTGGCGAGCGTGCACGTGACTGGCGAGCGCACGCTCGGGACGCAGGAGCCCCAGGGGAAAGCTGCGGCCCCAAGCGGCTCACGAGGCCAGGGATTCAAATTCCCCTCGCGGTCCGTCCATTGTCCAGGCCCCCCACCACCACCCCCACCGCCAACACCACCCCCCCTCCCCCCCCCCCCCCCGGCTACCTTGCCCATGAACGGCCGCGTCGAGAGGGGAGCGGCAATCCGCGTGCCCGGAGCATCGCGCTCCACCGCCCACCCCTTGCCTCTGGAGTCGCTCAGCCTCCTCTGCCCCCGGACTGTTTTGTCCGGCGGGGGTGGCGGCCCTTCGTCGATTTTTTCGACCGGAACCCGCGTGGGAAAAGTAACAACAACAACAACAATAATAATAATCTGTCGATAACAAACCCGGGGGAGCGGCCGTTCAAAGTCCAGCATCGTAGGATTCTTACGACGGCATGAAGGAGTTCATCTCTCTCTCTCTCTCTGTAGGTGAACTTCGGGGGTAGGGTGAGATGTTGTTCTTGCCGTGATGAATCGCCGAGTGGTGGCCATTCGTAACTCAGGAGCGACCCGGCGGGGCGTGGGGAGGGGTGGGGACGTGAAGTCGCGTTTATCCAAAGCGTCCTGGTCGCAAGCGGGCAATGAATCCCGGCTCACCCACCAACCCCCAACCCACGTCGCGCGGAAGTGGATACCCCAGAACTACTTTCGAGTAGCCATCGCGGTCGACGCAGCATGTGGGGGGTTGGTGGGAGGGGTGTGTGTGTGGGGGGGGGCACAGGGCAAGGACTGAAAAGTGTCCCCGACGACCCCAGGGTCAGGTGAAGGCGGCGACGTCGCGCTGACGCCGGTCGTCGGCCAGGGTCAATCCGCCGCTGGACCGGAGCCGGCTCCGAGAGCGGCCGCCGCCGCGGTCCCGCGACGAGAGGCTGGGGGGGGGGGGGGCCGCGCGCTGGGGGGGGGGGGGCGCCCGCGTTCTCCGCTCTGTCTTCGCCTGGGGGGGGGGGGCACCACGATCCATTCCTCGGCCGCCCCTCCACAATCAGTCTCGTCGGCCATCAAACATCGGCCACGATGTGTCCTGCCCGAGCCGCACTCGCTCATCCACTCGCCCATCCACTAACTCACCCGCTCACCCAGGCTCGCTCACCCACATCGCCCATCCACTAACTCACTCGCTCACCCACTCGCCCATCCACTAACTCACTCGCTCACCCAGGCTCGCTCACCCACTCGCCCATCCACTAACTCACTCGCTCACCCACTCGCCCATCCACTAACTCACTCGCTCACCCAGGCTCGCTCACCCACTCGCCCATCCACTAACTCACTCGCTCACCCACTCGCCCATCCACTAACTCACTCGCTCACCCGCTCGCCCATCCACTAACTCACCCGCTCACCCAGGCTCGCTCACCCACTCGCCCATCCACTAACTCACTCGCTCACCCAGGCTCGCTCACCCACTCGCCCATCCACTAACTCACTCGCTCACCCGCTCGCCCATCCACTAACTCACCCGCTCACCCAGGCTCGGTCACCCACTCGCCCACTTGCTCACTCACTCATCCAGTCGCCTACTCACCCAATCTCTAACTCGACCAATCGCCCGCTCACCCGCTCACCCGCTCAACCAATCCCTCACTCACGCAACCTCTCGATCACCCAATCACCCACTCATCCAGTCGCCTACTCACCCAATATCTAACTCGACCAATCACCCGCTCACCCGCTCAACCAATCCCTCACTCACCCAACCTCTCGATCACCCAATCACCCACTCACTCATCCACTTCGCCTACTCACCCAATCTCTAACTCGACCAATCGCCCGCTCACCCGCTCACCCGCTCAACCAATCCCTCACTCACCCAACCTGTCGATCACCCAATGACCCACTCACTCGTCCAGTCGCCTACTCACCCAATCTCTAACTCGACCAATCGCCCGCTCAACCAATCCCTCACTCACCCAACCTCTCGATCACCCAATCACCCACTCACTCATCCAGTCGCCTACTCACCCAATCTCTAACTCGACCAAGCGCCCGCTCACCCGCTCAACCAATCCCTCACTCACCCAACCTCTCGATCACCCAATCACCCACTCACTCATCCAGTCGCCTACTCACCCAATCTCTAACTCCACCAATCGCCCGCTCACCCGCTCAACCAATCCCTCACTCACCCAACCTCTCGATCACCCAATCACCCACTCACTCATCCACTTCGCCTACTCACCCAATCTCTAACTCGACCAAGCGCCCGCTCACCCGCTCAACCAATCCCTCACTCACCCAACCTCTCGATCACCCAATCACCCACTCACTCATCCAGTCGCCTACTCACCCAATCTCTAACTCGACCAAGCGCCCGCTCACCCGCTCAACCAATCCCTCACTCACCCAACCTCTCGATCACCCAATCACCCACTCACTCATCCAATCACGCCCTCGCCCAATCTCTAACGCGACTAATCGCCCGCTCACCCGCTCAACCAATCCCTCACCCAACCTCTCGATCACCCACTCACTCATCCACTTCGCCTACTCACCCAATCTCTAACTCGACCAAGCGCCCGCTCACCCGCTCAACCAATCCCTCACTCACCCAACCTCTCGATCGCCCAATCACCCACTCACTCATCCAATCGCGCCCTCGCCCAATCACCCACCCAAATCACATTTCCGCCTCTGCCCCGTTGCCGCCGGCAGCCGCCGCGACCGCGGCTACTCCCACCCAAAGTCCTCCCCCACCATCTGGTAGAACTTGAGGTTGAACGGGCGGTAGAAGTCGCGCAGGCGCACCAGGGCGCGAGCGTCGACGCTCGGGTGCGTGCGCCCCTTGGTCTTGCCGAGGCAGTGGGGCCTCCCGCTGCCCTCGGCCTTCTTGAGGCACGGGAAGCCCTTGGTGGCGTTGAAGTAGAAGTGCTTGTCCGTGACGATCGTCTTGAGGCCCAGGAACCGCTGGGCGCGCCCGACCTCGCCCGCCGGGTCCGACACGAGCCTCTCGCCGCTCACGAAGAGCATCCGCTCGCGGGGGAACGCCCTCAGCCACCGCGCCAGGTGGTCGGCATAGAGCCCGATGCGCAGGGCGCTCCACTGGGGCTCGACGAGCCCCGACGAGCGGTTGCGGAAGGCGAGCGCCTCGAAGGACGCGGTGCCCAGCGTGCGCTTGGACAGCGTCTGGGTGTAGTCGGAGATGGCGCGGGTCACGGGGTCGCGCACCACCACGATGAGGCGCGTCCGCCCGCCGTCCATCGCGCGGATCCGCTCGGGGGCCTCCTTCGTGATGAAATAGCTCGGCGTCTTCTCCATCGTGATCTGCCCGTCGAGCGTCAGCGGCATGAGGCCCCTGCGTTGGGGGGGGGGGAGGTTGAGAGAGAGAGAGAGAGAAGGGGGAAAGCGAGCGATGGGAAATATTTGAGAGGAATCGGGCGGCCGCTGTGTGAACGTGTGGCAGGACACCCCCCATAACACGCCAAACGAGTCTCGGGGCTCGGTGAGACTTTCCTCGATGAACGAGCTCATGCAACAACAACACAATCACATTTGCTACTTGTAATGAAAATTCAACATTGGTTGTTCTTCTGTTTCAGATGCGCCCACCATCATGGCAAATTAAGTTCACCCTTCTCCGTTATCAAACAAAGAAAACGGTGCGATTGTCTTGCAAAGCTAAATGGGCAAAGGCGCACGCCTGCAATTGTTTTCCCGTGCCACCGCTGGTGGAAGAATAATCAGATTCGTTGACATTGGAGGAATCTGTCGAGCCCTGAAACTCTCTTTACACGCTTTCTATTAACTCAATCTGTCTGTTGTTGTTGTTGTATCCTCAAATCTTGCAACTAAATTGTAACCCACTTCCCAATGTGGTATCGACTGCAAACTTGGTATACTTATGTCATACTTATGACAATACTATATTCTATCATTAAAAACATATTTTTTAAAACATTTTTTATACGTTCTGTTTCGGCTTGGGTCCAACTGTCCACGCTCAACTCACGTTGGCTGTAATTGACCACGGTCCCCCTTACGTTGTGGCGAGCTTCGGGGCCACTTCCTGGAGTCGTGGAGTTCTGCCATTACTCGTACGGTACATTTCATTAAAGCGTGTTTTTTTTTAAAGTTAATTTTTATAATTACTTATTTTGCCACAGATGCCCAGAAGAGCCTTCCACCTGGAGGCAGCTCTCGACACGATGTCGCTGGAGCCACACTTTACCCCGAAAACCCGCGTGTGTACACATTGACGCTGGCCGGAGTAGGGTGGCCTGGGGTGAGGGTGGTTTCAGGCTGTGATTCGTTGTTTCAACTGCCGCGCACGGGACATCGAATCGAGAAAAAATCTGAAGCTGTTGGATTACAATGGCAGCGTGCTAAACAACTGCGTATCTGCGCCGGATCGCGACAACCGGCAAAACCCTTGTCCCTTAGTGAGCGTGCCAACGTGTGTTGTAAGCGTCGTCCCAACGTTCGCGCGACGTTGGCCCAACGTCGTCCCAACGTTCGTCCAACGTTCGACCAACGTTCGCACAACGTTAACCCAACGTTCGCCCAAAGTTGGCCCAACGTCGTGCCAACGTTCGCAGCAATATTCGCCCAACCTTAGCCCAACGTACGCCCAACGTTCGCCCAACGTTCGCCCAATGTTCGCACAACGTTAACCCAACGCTCGCCCGACGTTGACCCAACGTTCGCCCAATGTTCTCCCAATGTTGTCCCAACGTTCGCCCAACGTTGTCCCAACGTTCGCCCAACGTTGGCCCAACGTTCGCCCAATGTTCGCACGTTAACCCAACGTTCGCCCGACGTTGACTCAACGTTCGCCCAACGTTCTCCCAATGTCCCAACGTTAGCCCAACGTTGTCCCAACGTTCGCACAACGTTGGACCAACGTTAGGCCCACGTTGGGGCCAATGTTGAGCGAAGAAGATGCATCGTGGGTGCTCCATGACGTGAAGATTAACTGGCGCTTAACCGGCTGAAATGGGCCTGGCTTTTAATGACATCACCTTTCATCTCGGATTACGACGCTTTAGCCCGCTTGCTTATTCCGCCTTTGTTTGGTGCGACCCTGGGAATGATTACGGGGGGGGGGGGGGGTGTGGCTGCTGGGTTTGGGGGGAGGTGGTACCCACACCTTGCAGAGGCATCTCAAGAGCTACATCACGACTAATCTATTATTTTATTGTTCAACAGGTAAGGGCCCCACCGATGCCATGCAAGTTCTTTTGTTCAGCAGCCAACTTGGCCATCACAAATGAGAGCGCAGCGAAGTGGCACGATCGTCGTCGACTGGACATTCATAGCAGCAGCCAAATAAGAACTCTGAACGCGCAACGTCGATTCGAAATGTGGGAGGGGGAAAACCGAAGGACCCTGAGAAAAATCCACGCGACCACGGGGAGAGAGAGAGAGAGACGCGCAAACTCCAAATATACAGCAGCAGCAGGCGTCGTCTGGTCCGGGATCGAACCCACGACCTCCCGCATACCAGGCGAGGTAGTTAACATCTCCTAGCCACCGTGGCCCTGCCACATAATGATGTATTGGTCAGTACGAGTTGCATTGTATGGGGGGGTGGCTGGGTGGGGGGGTGGTGTTAGCTAAATGAACAGGGTGGGAAGAGGACAGAGAAACTCCGCGCTACAGAGTCGGGAATCGAACCCAGGTCACCTCCTCGCTGGCCGCTGGGCCACCGCCGCACCACTACCCGATCGCCCGATATGTAACATTGAAAATAAATAAAATTGGAACGAAGTTGTACACCGCAAAAAAAAAAATAACTCGATGGGGGATCTCGCTGCCCATGTTTATTCGTAATAAATCGGCATTTTGCGACCCCCACTGCCACTATGTAGCATATTATTACGTGGCCAGGCACTCTACGAGATGATAGGACAATAGTCTGAGTCTATAATTTGCAATAAGTAACGGCAAAGCGGTTTATAAGCGACTCGCAGAATTGCGCGCAGTTGCGTCTACAGAGTCCACGACTTCCCTGAAGGCATCGACACCTTCAGCGAGCGCGATGGCGATCAGTACCAACGCGGTTCGCAATTGGACCCCTCGGTCGATGGACTGCCCCATCGCCGCACACGCGTCGAATACAAATCAAGGGACAAGTCCTCGCTTACTAACAACTCCTTACTAACAACTCCTTACTAACAACTCCTTACTTACTAACAAGTCCTCGCTTACTAACAGCTCGTCTATCAATTTTTTTTTATTGCTGGAGGGGGGTTGCCCCCCATACCTACCTGAAAATCCTGGCTCCGGCATTGGCCGCTACTATGGTTGGTGCAGCGGCTGCGGTTTTAGCAAAGGGGCGGACCACGTTGCAGCCTTGCGTGGAGAAGTGGAACAAAAACCCTCGGTGAGACTCCTGCGCCGAGTCTTGCACCACGACTTTTCTAAGTGCCAACCACCTCCGGTCATTTACAGCGCTCACACGCGCGGGTACGGGGGGGTGTGGGGGGCAATTAGAGACGCGAGCTGTATCTTAAACACTCTCCATCTCTCTCTCTCTCTCTCCTCTTTATATTTTTCTTTTTACGATCAGAGGAAACGACAAGAAGATGCTCGGTGTAGTCGGCACTTTGCTTCGTTCATCATTTCGGTTTTTTGTTTGTTTGTTTTATTTTTCAACGCTTTGCTTTATGTGTTCCCCCCACCCCCCCTTTAATTAAAGATTTCACGCAAAAAAAAAGGAGAGAGGGGAGAGAGAGGGGAGAGAGAGGAGAGAGGGGAGAGAGGAGAGAGAGGAGAGAGGAGAGACCGTGTGCTCGGTGGCAGATGACGGTAGAGAGCTCTGCGTGCAGATCTAAGCTACCCGTCGGAGGCCGTTTGACTGTGGGAAGGGCTGCGTGCAGATGCAGCACTTGTCGTAGTTATAAAGAAAAAAGAGAGAGAGCGAGAGCGAAATGGAGTAGGAAGAGAGGGGGTAGAGTGAGAGGGGGGGGGCAGAGAGGGGGGTAGAGAGAGAGGGAAGGGGTAAGGAGAGCAGAAAAAAAGGGGGGCTTACATAAAGCAAAGCATTAAAAAAAAACCGAAATGATGAACGGAGCAAAGTGCCGACTACACCGAGCATCTTGTTTCCTCTGATCGTAAAAAAAAA